CGATGTCTCGCCGAGGAAAGACGTTTAAGAAGAAATCTTAAACATCTACTGCAGCAACCTGTCTGTCCGTCACACTAAATTGTCGTGCCTGTCACGCTTTTCCGGACAAATCATTGACTAAAATAATTTTAATATTCCTACTGCCTGCCGAGCGCAGCGAAGGTGGCCACGATTGGCCTAAAAGCTGCCGAGCGCAGCGAGGCGGCCCAAATCGGCACCTTCTGCAACCCTGCGGGCCTTTGGGCCCGCCTGAGCCACAATCTGCCAACCTACCGTGCGAGCAGTGAAGCGAGCCCGTGGCGAGCGGAACGGTGGCAAAACACAAGGAGCGACATTCATTCATACCCGCCGCGTAGCGGCGGCACTCGGCTAGTGCTCAACAAAGGGAGAGACGAGCTCGCCAACGTGACCGAGAAATACAACACAGACAGAGACGTCTCGCGAGACTTAGGGGACGCCTGCTCCCTGACAATGAGCGAGATCGAATGGCTTGCTGAGAGCCAGCATTATTTGCGAGATCCGCGTCTAGCACTTGCGTACTATCATTGCTGTGGCGTCGACCCTGCGTCTTTTGTTTTCGGGGACGAGAATCTTAGCGGGAAAGCCGGAGTGGCGGTGCGTGAGCGGGTTTTGGTGATGCTCGGTGACTTTCCCAGCCCCCGCGATATTGCTGAGTGTCAGCAATTAGTCGCGTCAGTCGGGTCCGAAGCAACTTCCGTTTGGGCTTGTGCGGCGTGTGGACGGATTTTGCTGCAAACAGATTCGGACGGTGTCCATTTTTCATCGCTGTCGCAACTGGATACTGTTCTCTTGTCTACTACCGAGCGGGAGTTATTGTTTAAAGAAATACCGGAGCCGGCATTACGGTGTTATCGACAGCTTTATTTTTCGGAGAAGACATCTATTATTTGATACCCGAGCTGGTGCGAGATCGAGAAAAAAATTCTCTTTGTCACAAATGCAAAAGCGATCCACGTAAGAACGAATTTAGCGTCGAGGCTGGTCACGATTATGGGCGTATCGCGATGCTTCCTGTTTTAGCCGACGCCGCACTGTGGTGCACATCTCCTGCTCGATGCTTCGGGCTCGCAGTTTCGTTGTCCGGTAGACACTCAAGGGGCCACGCGATCTGCTTCCCCACAAATGGAGCGGCGTTAATACAACGTTACATAACCCTTTTACAACTTCACGACGTGATTTTAGCGCAACGCTAACGACGTTAAACTGGTATCTACTGGTTTATCGGTGTTCTAAATGTAACAATAGGAGCAAATTCGACGAAATATTTTCATCAAAATAGAGACAATTGTTACCCGGACATAGCAAGCATTTAAAACTGCCCCCTAATTTTCTCTGACTACAAATCTCACAATAAACTTTGGGACGATGAAGGATCGCGCAGGCGCTGAGTCCAGCGCGGGTGACGAAGGAGCAACCAGACCGCGGTCAGCCCCGCAACTAGCGCAACTGCTTGCTTGTTCTCGAGTCCAAGATATAGCAACGATTCAGGAGAAGTTAGTGAAGATGGAGGAGTACACGCGCAAGCTGGCGGCAGTTCAGGGCGAGCTTAAAGATCTGCTGGACCAAGAAATCGAATGTGCGAGCAAGCTGTCCTCCTGGCGTTTACGAGGCGTCTTTGGGCGACCAATACGTCTCCTCGCTGTCAGTACTCCTGGCCGAATACGGCAGGACGATTCAAGACAAGTAAGCCCGCTATAGTCAAGTTGCCGTTGCTCCGATATAACGTTGCTGAATGTTAGCGTCGTTCGTATATAACGTCGTCTACAGAATAACGTTTTTCTTCTTAGTCGATAGTATAGTGCACTTTTCTGCAGAGATCACCAAGCGAGCACAAAGCACCTACACGGATTTTATTGCATAGTGATCTCGACGCAATGGCCGGTAGCGAACAAAGCAAGATGTCCCCTCGGGACGTTCCAAGACGCATTAGGAGCGCTCAGCGACGCCGAACTTGTCGGATGCAGCCGCAGCTATGTCAGCGTCCACCGACCCAAGCTCAAGCTGTCCAAGTTCAAGCCCGCCCCGCTCAAGCTTTGGTCAATGTTATTGACTTGTTTCATGAGGTCGTTATAGATTAAACAAACAATTCGGACCAAGATTAGGATGCCAACATTCAGAAAATACGAGTTGAAGCTCGAAGTGACATTTGAAACAGTGACTATATTTTACTTAGTTCCAGTTTTTTTCCTTACTTCCTTTTGCGATAGCACTGACCAACTGCCTGCCTATCTGTTTAGCTTCTTCTTTCTCGGCTTCCCCTACAGGTTCACGGCGTGATCTGGATAAGAGCATCCACATCAACCTCAGCCGCATCACTTAAATTACGCTTCTCGTAACCGTTTCGGCCGTGAACCCACGTCCGCTATAGATAAAAGAGTACGTCATTGTCGAGACCATGACACCGCAGCTGTATTCATCCGGTTGGGCGAGCGACATTAGCAATTCAATGCTCACGTGTGTCGGGAACGCGTGTTCTTCTTCGCGTGTCTCTTGGCATTCCCACTGAGAATGCCATTCTCGTAGATATGGCAGCATCTTACAGGTCCATATATTCTCCATAGCTGATCTGTACGATGCGGTACATCGCGGATCGTACATGTACACCGTCATCGCATCATGTCTGTGCACCACCACCACTACAATAAGCGTCCCGTGGCATCCTACGATGTTGACGGGTAGAGCGATGAACTTCATCGAGAAGAGCTTTGATCGCGGTGGGGGCGGAAGCTTCTCGCTGCCGACCACAATCGACGACAATGCATGAACGCCTATCTAGTTGCATGTAATGATGTCCAAAGTATAGATAAACACGTCATCGTTTAGTCACGCACGATCCGCTATATACCCTACCACTTCCTCGAAGTAGATTCTTTTTAAAGCATTTTTGTGGTAGAATTTTGTACGCAGACACACAGTATCAAAACCCGCATTGACCTCAGAGGCTAGATGCGCTAGTCTCTGCTTTGTTTTAGCTGCTGGCTTGCCCAATGAATCCGTCCCGTCGGCAAAAAACTCAATGGGTCGTCCTGTGACCTTCGCCAAGTGCTGTTTTTATCCAAGCCTCGCCTCTTTCCCACCATTTAAAACGTTTTTTTTATTCTGCAGTAAGATCTTCATTATGTGTACGCATTCACTGCAACAACAAAAGGAAACAATAGCTAGTAGCTGACACGATAACGTTGCTTCGACAACAATAGTGTCGCTAATGCAACGTTAATGCCCATCTAGCAACGTTAACTTCCGACGTTACCGTGAATATGGCTCCAGTAGTGGCGTCACCTAGACCGCGAGCGTCTTATCGTCTGAAGAGCTGGGCGTTGAAGTTAGATCGGCCACCGTCTGCATCTGGTTAGATCCACCGCCTCCTGCATCTTGATTCTGGTCTTTCGGTCCTCGTTTTGACAAAGCGCGTAGTTATTCAATGCAGCTTGCAATGATACTGCCAAGTCTTCCGGAATCACGTAGCGCCAGCAAGGTCACCTCTCAGATGCGGCGCACGCGGCCACGCAATGCTTGCTCATTCATAATACATGGATACTTCTCCAATATATCCGAAACAGTGCTCAACCCGTTGGTGTTGACGCTTGAACGCGTGGTCAAGGCAAAAATGGCGACCAGGTGCGCGGAAACACTGGACGTCAAGTCAAGGGTAGTGCTTTTTGTATTCTGACGTAGCTTTTTCTTAATGGTGATCTTGTTTAACGTTGCTATTTCGAGCGTTGCTTATGGCAGTTGGTACCAAACGAGAGTGCAGCCCATCGAACGCCGGTCCCGCTTTGCAGTCGTCGAAAAGGCTCCGTCTGTACTCGCCCCATGAAGACGACATAAGCACGTCATCATCTCGCAAGGATGAGGAGAAAAGTGAAGCCTGCATTGAAAAAAGCAAGAGGGGGGAGAGTAGCGTCGAGGAGCCACCCCCGCACCTCTAGTTTGTTGTACCAAGGCAACCACGTATGCGCAGCAGCAACACGAAGAAGGAGCGCGAGGAGATGATTGCCGCTCACACCAATGTGGAAAACTACGTCGGGCCAGTTCCACGGAGAGGCTATGCGGGCTGGAAGTCTTGGGAAAATGCGTATGCAGAATACTGTCGTACGCATCTTGACTTTCACCGAGCGTTGAATCGTCTCCGTCTCCGCCCTCGCACACACTCTTGACATTGCCACCCGCGTCGCCGCCCAATTTTGGCGCTGTTTTGATTCACACAAATACAGGATAGCGTTAATAAAGCAACAATAAAATCAAAGCAACGTTAGTGTTTAAGCAACGTTAGCATCAAGTACTATACCTTGGGTCTTTACGGCCAGCCTCTTCATCGACGTGACGCACAGCCGACACAAGTTGCGCCGGGTGCGTTTCTGGGGACAGTAGTGTCGCTTCCCGTACCCGCAGCGAGAAAACGCTCTCCATGTCCTTCGCTACCATCCACATCGTCTTTCGGAGACGTATCTATAGAGTAACGATGAAAATGGTTAGATGAAGAAAGGAATTTGTATACGCACGCAATCACGAACCGTTGTCACCCGCGTCTACTGCGGCTTTGCTTTCGATAACCGGCTCCGCACGAGCGCTAGCGGTATTGGAACTATCGCTTGAGTGGCGCTCACAATCGTGAGCTGTAAGTCATCCAGCGTTAGCATATAAACGTTTATTAGGGCATTGCACAGCACTTGCCTGTTTGGGCTGGACTCGGCGGGCCACAACAAGCTGGCCACCTACTTGGACGATCCCTCCCGTATCCGCTGGTCCGTTCTCTCCGTCGCTGTCGCGCATGGTGCTCCGCTACGTGTCGTGTTCGCGCTTTCTCCCCGTTTCGAAAATGAGCGGTTCGCAGATCTCGTACTTAAAAAAATAAACAGAAACTTATACCATATGTCACCGGTTTATATCTCTTCGATAAAATTTGTTGTCGTTTTCGTCTGTGAATTTTACAATAAGCCGGACGCTTCTCGCGTGACGCCTCTGCGATCCTCAAGGTGATGGCCGAGATGCAGGCCACCCCGTCGATCGTGAGCAACGAGTTGACCCGCACATATCTGCTGCAGGCCTGGACCCGTTGCTGCACGTGTCTGGGCCACGACTTCGCTCCTTATCTCCCGCTCATCATGCCTACTCTGCTAGAGGCGGCCACGCAACAGGCCGAGTTTGAAGTGGACCCGACGACTCTATCCAGCGACGACGACGAGGACGAAAGCGGCGGGTCCACGGACAGTGAAGACATTCAACTGGCCCAAGCTAACGACAAGTGTCTGAGTGTCCGTACGTCCATCTTAGAGGAGAAGGCCACGGCCTGTCAACTGCTGGCCGGCATGGTGGCCGACCTTGAAGATGCCTTCTTTCCTTACGCCATACAGGTGACTCAAGTGCTGGCCCCGTTGTTACCGAGTCGGTCCACTCGGACATCCGGGCCTCAGCTATCCGCGCGATGCCTGCACTTGTCAAGTGCGTGGCCATCTCCACTGGTGTTTCGGCCAAGGACCACAGTGACGTGGCCATCAAGCAGATGGTAGACTTCGCTCTCGGTCGACTAGTTAACGCACTGACATCTGAGCCCGAAGTGGATCTGGTTGTGAGTATCATGCAGAGTATGACTAGCTGTCTGGCCGACGCACGTTCGGTACACTCGACGCTGGAACTTAACGAAGCGCAGTTAAGTGAGCTAGTGCACGGCCTACTCGTCGTGCTAGGCGACAGCTTCCAGCGTCGCGCGATTCGTCGAGGCGCTGGGAGTGACATGGAAGACGACGACGACGATGCGTCTCAGTCCAGTGAGACTCAAGTGGCCGAGCAGGAGCTGCAGTTCGTGTTGGCCGAGTGTATCGGCACATTGGCCAAGACCCACGGCGCTGCGTTCTTCCCCGTGATTATGTCTCTACTATGGGAGAAGGTGGCCGCTCTGGCCGCACCGGGTTGTCTGGTAGAAGACCGTCGGCTGGCGCTGTTTGTAGTGGACGACGTACTGGAACATTGCGGCCCGGCCATGCGTCGTCTGGACGTGTTGCTACCAGTTCTGGAGAGTGCACTAGGCGAAGTTAACGAGCCCAGTTTGGTCCAAGCGGCCGCGTTCGACGTTAATTCTGCTTAAAGCGACGTTATGAACATAAACGCTACCCGCTTCGCCACAAATGGACCTTTTGAGCTTGCCCGGGAACTACCAATTGTGCATTCTAGCGGCATACCTCGTGTGACGTTCGTCGGGTCTCGTGAGGCGTGGTCTGGCCAGTGGAAAAGATTCTTGGCATTGTATACAATTCCGCCCAACGACGTGTACAAGTGGTTGGCTGTGTTGAGCGGCATCAATAACGTCTTTCAAGAAGAGGGTATTCAGGTTGTCGATACTCCCAAGAGGCGAGAGCTTCTGAGGGCGATGGCTTCCTTCGTCGAAGCCTGTGCTCATATCACTGAGTCTGCCCTTGTATCTGCTATTGACGAAGAGACCGAGGGTGATAGCAGCGTACGCGATGAAAGTTTGAGCGGTGGCGACGACACAGTGATTGTTCGCTCGTCGCCCGTTCTCCCGAATATTAAGCAAAGCGACCCGGCGGTTGTTCACGGGGTAATAGATGCTACGGCAGCTAGTGTTTTTCCAGATTTGTTTCTTACAGGCTCGCGTCCTCTTCCGTCCGGGCCTCTTCCCCAACGTTACGTCGACCACTTTCTGCATTATTGGGATGACCGATAACCATCTTTCCGGAATCGACGGAGGCAAAACGCCTTAACGCAAGGCTACTGAGGCTACTTTCTTTGGTGGGAGGTAGCGTCCCGCTCTCGCCGTTCGAGAGGGCGGCGACACGGCCGAAACTTGGCGCGATACACGTATCGACAGCCTGAATGACCTCTTCCTGAAAGACGTTATTGATGCCGCTCAACACAGCCAACCACTTGTACACGTCGTCGGGCGGAATCTTATACAATGGCGAGTATCTTTTCCGCTGGCCAGACCACGCCCGACGAACGATTCTCACCTCTCGTCTCGGCTTAGGGCTCCCCTCTATATTGTTAATGCATTTACAGTCATGTGCGTCAATATGCAACGGTCTACAACTTATATATTTAAATACATGACATGTATACATGTACAATATAGGACTGTCGATCGGGCAAAGGGACCAGGTACACGTACCGTCGATTTATTGCTATCCCAGCCTACCCTCCAGCCCTAGTTAGCAAAGTATTGTAGTCTTACTTTTGCCGACAACACTACCAGTCCAACTCTCTCGTTACTGAGCCTTTGAGGCCCGAACGGTTTACACTACATGAGCGATCTTGCTCAAAAACAACAGCTACTACTGCAGCAACAGTAACATTGTTTAGTAAACTGGAAACAAGAGGATGTTTATAGCAGAGGGCTTAGTCATGAAAATACACCTGCTAGCTCCTGCAGATTGCCCAGACCAACATATCTTTCTGTGCTAGCAAATGTTATTATAGATGGCGCCTGAACATGCATCTCCTCTAATGCACCTTACGTTGCCATTTTCAAGGAGCGCTCCTGTTAGACCGCTTAACTGCATGTGTAGCCGTTACTGATGTACGTGATATCGTTTGCATTTTTGCCAAGCTTCGCCGTAGCATTTGAGACCTTACGCTCCGAATTCCCCATATCCTTCCAAACGCCAAGAGCTTGATAGTACTTGTTGGTGTCTCGAAGAAACTCGTCGTAGAGCGCCGAGTTTTTTTAGCCAGCTCTCCTTGATTTTAGTGGCACTGCTCCTGCTAACACCGGGAGGGCGATTGGGGCCGAATAAACCTCTATATTAACCACCTTGGTCCGTGCTATCCTCTTGGTGAGTACGTAGACACTCCTTTCGAGTCACTGTGACTCAAAAGATCTGTAAGCAGCACTCTGGAGTGGATTCAAGCGGATCCTGCTCAGGGCCACAGAGGATATGATGCATTGTCATTGTCGAGTAGAATGAAACCAGAAGCTGAGAGAATTGATTCTGCTTTAAATCAAGGCGGCGCTCTTGCAATTTCGCCGTTTGCTCCCGATCTTCTTCAAGTAAGCGTTCCATTCGGAGCTGGTGCTTGGGGTTTCTGCGCTGCCGCTTTGTGACGCTCGTACCATCACTTTCGTCGCTAGAAGCTAATCAAAATTATGTGAAGAGGAGTTAAGTCTTTATCATCGAGGGTAACAAACCTGCCACAGTACCGTCATCTGTCAGCACCAAATGTCTTCTTCCCAGCTCAGATACCTCTTTGTCATAAACTGTTCGGGCTACATTTCACGATGACGAAGGCCAGCGTCACGCAGTTCATCGTCTCTCTTCCGCTTCGCCGCATTCGATGTTTTGGTCGCAAGATGATCCTTCTGCTGCTCTACCATTTCAGTGAGCTTCTCTCGGATACGAATCTACAACCAAGAGCGTCGTAAGTTTCATAACTAAATTTGTTGTAACCAGTACATGTACCTCGATTGCCGAGCGTTCATGTTCTTGACCGGTCTCAGCGTCAAGCTCTTTTTCACGGAGCACGTGCTCCTTCAGCATACTTTCGACCCAGCTTTGAATCGTCCGGTGGTTTGCCGTATAGCCTCATGACGTTCTAAGGTGCTCTGCAGCCTCAGCGACACGCGTTCCTAACTTTCCGTAGGGGGCTATATGCGCCTCTGTGTAGGAGTAGCTTTCTAGCACGGCTTCCTGTGCTTTGAAGTTCGTTACCCAGTTCTGGATTGATTGAGGTTTGCGTGCTTGGTTTGCACGTTGCTGAGCGTTAAGAGTAACCGAAGCAGCAGGCCGTTCCTCATAAAGTTGATGCCCTGGACCGGGATGCAAGTCTTGTACAGGATCGTTAAGCAGGTCTTGGAAGGCACGTCTTCGACGGCCATCAAGTTGAGTTGACGCTTTAGATCCTCTAACCAACGCATTATTAAAAGCAGCAGGGGCTCCTGCTATGGCAGAAACACTGTGTACTTGCAGATTATCTTGGTCATCGCCTGCGACTTGATCCGTCGACCTCACGCCTTCGCCGAAGATACACTGTGTAGGCAACCTACGGATACTTGGGGTGTTAAGGGAAGCTGGGACCATCGCCTGAGCATCACCAACAGCAATGTCGTCGCTGTGGTCTTTGCTGTCCTCCTCTGAAGACGACCAGTTGCGCACAAGTAAAGCAACCACGCTATCTGTGACGGGGTCACACAGCACCTTGCGCTAGAGGAAGTTATCTTCCGAGAGTATACAAACTCTTAGTGAACGGCAGTTCACAGGTCCCCTCTTTAATTAAAGAGAGCGAAGTGACCTAAATAAGGTAGATTGTAAACTGAGTATATTGATAGGTAGGTTAAGTTTGAGGTTAATACAAACTATCAGTTACCTATAGAAATGCAATGTCATTTAACCAATGGTTGGTTTTGAATGACCTTGGTACCTTGTACCAAATATCCCGGAGTATGACATGTCATACTCCTGAAGTGTGAAGTGTCACACTTCATGTAACCAGGGTACACTTAGTGCTACGTACCCCGTTACATCCTCCCCCACTTAGGTTCGGTTTACCGACCAATCAGAATGAAGAGATGTTCGTCACAAACTCTCATTCTCAAAGTCGAAAACCATCGACTCGGCCGCGCGAGCGCGGCGGAGGCTCACTTTACAGTTAGAGCCTCGAGCAGCAACCTGTGCGCTCTTCGTCAAGGTCTCCACTTCGACCGTTAACATGCCTCGTGGCACTGCTAAGAGCGGTGCTAAGACACGCTCCAAGGCTGCAGCCGGTAAGTGCGACTGGCCGACGGGAAGGTCGTCACTGTCTCCAACGTCCAAGTGGATCTGGCCGTCAAGTTTGAGGACTTTGACAGACTCGAACAGCTCACTGTTCTCGACATGGATCCATATGAAATGATCCTGAGCATGCCCTGGCTTGAGAAGCATGGGACCTGGATCGACTGGCAAGGCAAGGCA